AGAAAGGTAATCGAAGAAATGCGAGAGAGAGAGAGAGAGAGAGAGAGAGAGAGGAGAGAGAGAGAGAGGGGAGTAAGGGGAAGGGGAAGGGTGCCAGCGAGACGTGGTTATCGTGGGTGACATCTACAGGGTGCAACGACGCCCGAGACACGGTTCACCGGTCACTCCTTATGAAAGGGCGTCGCCATAAACTGGGCAATGTATGGCGACGTTTATGCGCAGGAAGTACGCCGGCTCATGAAAGATCTGTGGGTGGGACGTCTGTCTCTCTCTCTCTCTCTCTCTCCTCTCTCTCTCTCTCTCTCTCTCTCTCTCTCTCTCTCTCTCTCTCTCTCTCTCTCTTTTCTTCTCCCTCTATCCTTCTTATCAACTCCTTAAAATCCACCATATCCAAAATCTTTACAACGAAAAACAAACTGATAATGAAACCCATCCCCCTCCTTCCCCCTCCCCCTCCTCCTCCTCCCCCCCCCCTCGTACACCCTCGCTCATTCATTCAAGATGGCCGATGACCAGGAGACCAAGGGGGACCAGGAGACAAAAGAGACAAGAGGACCGATAGACCTAGAAACCGCGAGACTAGTAGAGACCAAAAAAACAACAACAACAAAAAACTAAGAGAACCAGGAGGAGCAAAAAAGACCAAAATAAAAGAAACCAGAAGATCCAAAACCGAAAAAAGGAACAAAACAAAGAGAACCAGAGGAGCAAAAAGACCAAAATAAAAGAAACCAGAAGATCCAAAACCGAAAAAAAAAAAAGAAAACAAAACAAAAACAAAAAAATCAATATACAAACAAACAAAAAAGACCAGAAATCCAGCCCAAAAAGACAAAAAAAAAACAACAACAAAAAACCCAAGAAACAAGAAAAACAAAAAAGACTAGAAGACCAGAAAGACCAGGAGACCAGAAGACCAGATAACCACGCCCCAAAAAGGAAGGGCGAGCGTCTCCTTACTAAGACCACCTTGCAACCCGACCGTCATATTGGAGATGAATGTGGAAGAGGGAGGGAAGGAGAGGGAGAGGGAGAGAGGGTAGAGGGATAGGGAGAGGTAGGAGAGGGAGAGTGAGTGGGAAAGGTAGAGTGAGCGGAGAGAGAGGGAGGGAGGGAGGGAGGGAGGAGGGAGGAGGGAGGGAGAGGAGGAAGGGAGAGAGGGAAGAGAGAGAGAGAGAGAGAGAGAGAGAGAGAGAGAGAGAGAGGAGAGAGAGAGAGAGAGAGAGAGGAGAGAGAGAGAGAGAGAGAGAGAGAGAGAGAGAAAAGAGAGAGAGAAAGACAAAAACAAAAAAACAAAACAAAACAAACACGACTAAAAAAAAGAAAGAAAGAAAACAGCCCAAAAGACAGCCAGACACAAGAGAGAGAGATAGAGAGGAGAGAGAAAACAGAATCCAGACAGGCCCATAGCCCGCACCGCCCGCACCGCCCACCCGCCCACCACACACAACACTAAGTGCAAACCTGTGTGCCGGCCTACGTCAACAAACAGCGTCGCGGTGGGCCTTGCACGTCACTTTTGCAGGGGGAGGGGGGAGGGGTGTAGGAGAGAGTGGGAGAGGTAGAGGGAAGGGGTGGGAGAGAGTGTGGAGAGGGGAGCGGAAGGTGGAAGGAGTGTAGGAGAGAGTGTGAGAGGGGGAGGGGGTGTAGGAAGAGAGTGGGGAGAGGGGAGCGGAAGGTGGAAGGAGTGTAGGGAGAGAGTGTGGGAGAGGGGGGGGGGCGGAAGGTAGGCAGGGTATGGGAGAGGAGAGGGAGAAGGGGAGAGGACGTGGGAGAAGGTGAGGGTGAATGAAAGGGGAAGGGGTGAATGTTGATAAGGAGGGGAGAGAAAACGTTTTAGGAATGCATTTCGAACTTTTTTTTTCTTTTTTGTATGTGACTTTCGCCGGAAAGGAAAAGCTAGTGATAATGAGAAAGAGATGAGAGAGAGAGACAGAGAGAGAAATTCCTAAGGACATCATGTTAGACTGACACGTAGACAGAAACAGGCGAATAGGAGAACAACAACGCCGATAACAATAAGAGAAATGAGAAAGAAAACTAAGAAAATAAAGAGAAAACGAAAGAAAGTAAAACAAGAAAATACGGAGTACAACAAACAGAAGAAAAATATGGAAGGGGAAAAAAGAAGTAGAAAAAAGAAGAAAAACAATAACAAACAGCAAGAAAAATCAAGAACATAAACAAGAATACCGAAAAAAAGAGAAACAGGAAAGAATAAGAAGAAAGACGAAGAAAAGACGATAAGAAGAAGAGCAGGAGGAGGAGAGGACCCAGACCAGCGTCTCCGCGAAATAAATTGGCGAGCCCTTAAGACTGACACCTCCTTTTAAATCCGTGTTTGTGTCGGCGGCGACCCCGTGTAAACAGGTGGATAAATCTGCAGCCCCAGGGTTATCTCTGGTCGATAACCTCCCTACAGGAACCCCAGGACCTCATCTCCCTTCCCACCCCCCTCCCCCTCCCCCTCTCCCTTCCTGTCCCTCTCTCCCACACTCGCTGTCTTTACCTTCCTAGCTAAGCTCCCCTTTCGTCACTCACTCTCTCTCTCTCTCTCTCTCTCTCTCTCATCTCTTTTTCTCTTTTACTTGTTCTTCTTCTCTTCTCCCTTCGTTCTTCTAGTTATTATCCTCCCCCTTTCCTCTTCCATGTACCTCTTAAAGGAGCTTCTAAGATGATGATGATGGATCCCCTCCCTCTTCTCTCGAGATACAAAGACAGACAGATAGATAGATAGATTGAGAGAGAGAGAGAGAGAGAGAGAGAGAGAGAGAGAGAGAAGAGAGAAGAGAAGAGGAGAGAGAGAGAGAGAGAGAGAGAGAGAGAGAGAGAGAGAGAGAGAGAGAGAAACGTTAACAGATTGATAAATAAAACTAGACAGACAAACAGAGCGAAACAAACAAATCGATAGACAGAGAAAACCAAACAGACAAACAGACAGACAGACAGATAGACAGAGATAGAGAGAGCGCGAGGCCAAACAGCCCATTGTGAAGCCCTCGGCCGAACCCAGCGAAGCGAGGTCGAGTAATCCTTTTTACACAGCCGAGGGAGCACAGGAATCCCGGGCACTCGCCCTCGAGAACTCCGTGTCCTCCTCCTCTTCTTCTTCTTCTTTTTCTTGTATTTGCTCTTATTCTTATTCTTGTTTTTTTCTTATTCTTATTCTTGTATTTGATCTTATTCTTATTCTTGTTTTTCTGTTTTCTTGTTTTTTTTGGTATTCGGTTTCCTCTTCTGTTTTTGTTTCTTGTTTTTTTCTTCTTCCGTTTCCGGGCTTCCGCTTTCCGTTTTCTAATTCTTCTCTGTTTCTTGCTGTTTTTTTTTTCTCCTCTCTCTGTCCTTTACTCTGTTTTCGTTCTCAATCTTCGTCTCTCTCCCCTCTCTCTCTCTGTCTCTCTCTCTTCTTCTCTTCCCTCGCAATCTCTCTCTCTCCCCTCCTTCTTCTCTTCTCTCTCTCTCCCCTTCTTCTTCGACTTCCCTCCCCATCCCTCGTCCTCCCTCTCTCCCTCTTTCGTAGACGTGTCAAGAGGGCCGTCTGTGCTTGAACAAAAGCACGGGATTCGTACTGAGGCAGGTGGTGCTTGAACTTTCATTTTCATCTCTCTTTCTCCAATCTTTATTCCCTCTGTCTTCTGTACCTCTTTCTTTAATCTCTTTTCCTTGTCCCTTCTCTCCTTATCTCTCTATCCTTCGCTCCCTTCCTTAATCCGTATTCTTCACCCCTATCCTTCTTCCTTTCCTTTTCCTTTTCTCCCTGACCCCTCCCCCTCTCTCTCTCTCTCTCTACCCCCCTTCCTCCCTCCCTCTCGTCTTTCCCCCTTTCTCCATCTCCCTCCTTTCATCCGTTATCTTCTGCATCTCTTTCTTTAAAGCACTTGTCCCCGCAGGTACCCCGAGATGCCTTGTGTTATGAGAAGGAAGACTCAGGCAGGTTCGCGAGGATTAAATTCCTTCTTTTTCTTCCTCGTCCTCCTCCTCCTCCTCTCCCCTTTCTTCTTCTCCTCCTCCTCCTCCTCCTTTTCTGTTTCCTTCTAATTTTCTTCCTTCTTACTTTTTTCTTTTCTCTTTCGTCCTTTTCTTGTTCTGTTCTTGTTCTTCCTTCTCTTTCTTACCTTTTCTCAATTCCTTTTTTCACTTTCAGAAAGGAGGGAAAAGGAGGAGTCCGGAAGAAGGAGAAAGAGAATGCGAAAGAAACGAACGAAGAAGAGGAGGAAGAGGAGGAGGAGAAGAATACCTCGATCGCCATCCCAGGAACGACAGGAATGGAAGAGAGACAAAGAATAGAAAAAAAACAGGAGCTGAAAGGGAGAGAGAAAAAGGCGCGGAGGGGAGAGAAAGAGACAATGAGAGACAAAGAGAAGTGGCGAAGGCAGAAGAGCAGACGGAGATGAAAAAGAAGAAGGGAAAAAAAGAAGAAAGAAGAGGAGAAGAAAAGACGGGAAGAGAGAGAGAGAGAAAGAGGAGAAAACAGGTGCGTTCGTGATGGCGGGGGTTGGGGGGGGGTTGGGAGGCGGTAGAATCTTTGAAATTTCTGAACAAAACATTTTTTTTCTATTTTTGTTTTTATTTATCTATTTCTTTTTTCTTATTTTCAGTGATAATCATTGTTTTCGTACTGGGCCTATGGAAATTTTTGCATATATATATATATATATATATATATATATATATATATATATATATATATATATATATATATATATATATTGTTTTTGTCTATTATCTATCATTGCTGGAAGTAGGTGTGGCTGGAGACCAACGTCAAGCAGCATCAACCCATTCACCTACACTCACCCCATGCGTCCCCATTCATCCTCGCATACTCCACTCACCCACACCCCATTCACCTCATCACCCACGCACCCACATCATTCACCCTCATCCCATCACCCACGCACTCCACCCAACACATCCCCCCACATCCCCCATCCCCACAATCCCACCCCCCTCCCTCCCCACCCAGCCCTCCCAACCCCCACCCCACCCCCTAAACTCACCCTAATCTCCTCCACGGTGATCGAGTCTGCCGTGTACTGCGCCAGGAGGTGGGGGTCCAACGGGGGCGACTCCTTGATCTTGGACGCCAGGAAGAGGCAGACGGTCCCCAGGAGCTGCAGCTGCTGTCTGCGGATCGTCACCAGCGAGAGAAACCGGTCCATCATATTCATCGCCAGGGTGAACACTTCTTCCTCCCGCCGCTCCTCCTGGCACACCTGTGGGAGGGGGGTGGGGGTGTGGGGAAGGTGGATGGAGGGGGGGAAGGTGGATGGTGGAGGGGGAGAAGGTGGATGGTGGAGGGGGGGAAGGTGGATAGAGGGGGTGAGGAAAGTGGATGGAGGGGTGGGGGGAAGGTGGATGGAGAGGGGATGGGGGGAAGAGGGTGGGGGATAAGAGGAGGCGGAAGGTGGAGGAGGTGGATAGGGAGGAGATGGAGGGGAGTGGGGGAAAGAGGTGGGGAGGAGGTGGAGGGAAAGATAGGGGATAGGGGTAGGAAGGAGGTGGATGAGAGGGGAAGGTGGAGGTGGGTTGGAGGGTGGGAGAAGGGGGAGAAGGGGGGAGGGGAGCGGTTAGGAAAGGTGGATAAGAAGGTGGAAGGATGGGGGGCAAAGGAGGGAGTGGAGAGGTGGTACGAAGGGCGGAAGGAAATGGAGCGGAAGGGGGTGGAAAGAAAGGGGGATGGAAGAGAATAGAAATATGGCGATAGAAGGAGGCAAGTGGAGGTGAGAAGAATAACGGAAAGAGGAAGAAGAGAAGAGGGGAAGGAGAGGGGGAAAAGAAGATGATGGGGGGAGGGGAGAGGAGAAGGGGAGGGTGTTTAAAGGAGTTGGGGTAAAGATGGAAAGGAGGGAGTGGGGGCGGGAGGGAGCGAAAATGAGAGGTAAAGGAAAAGTAGGAGGAATGGGAACGAAAAGGATAAGAAGGAGAAAGAAAGCAGGAAAGTAAGAGGGAGGGGGAGGAATTAAGTGAAGGAGGGAGGGAAGAAGGAGGGAAGGAGGAAGGAGGAGGGAAGGCGGGTGGCCGGGATAAAGTGCACGAACCACGGGAAAAGGGAGGGGGGGTGAAATGAGGGAGGGTAAAGGGGAGGGGGGTAAATGGGGAGGGTAAGGGGAGGGGGTGAAGGCACCAGAATATCACCAGTGCCGAAGAGGGTGGAGGGGGAGGGGGGAGAAAAAAAAACATGGATTAGTAGACATATTTTACAATTTTACCATTATCATCATTATCATTAGTATTTGCACAATCATCATTATAGTTATCACTATCATTGTGTCCTTACCATGCACATTTCTAAAATAAAAATCTTATTCATCTCTTCATGTTCACGACTCTAAAATCACTGAACTAAACTAAACTAAGCTTAACTAAACTAAAAAAAATCAAAGAAAAAAAAACCCAAAAGAGAAAAAAATAAAAAAAAAAAAAATTGAACCCCCCCCAAAAAAAAAAAAAAGAAAAAAACATTAAATACACATACATGCTCAATCCTCAACATCAAAATATTAGAATCAACCAACCACTTAATCTCCCTGCCAATCACACGTCAACGTCACTCTAGGCCTAATTCCACCCTCCCCCTCCCCCTCCCCCTCCCCCTCGCTCCCTTGGCTACACACACAAAATTGAAAGAAAAGGTAAATAACAACAATAAGGAAAATGTCAATAAAATAAATAACATCAAGAATGCCTTTCACCCCACCACCCCGTGTTTCGAAATCCCTAAAATAATAATAATAAATAAGTAAATAAATAAAAACGATAATCATACCCTAAAATAATAATAAATAAATTTAAAAAAGTAAAAAATAAAAAACAATAATTATAACAATAAATAATGCTTTAAACTAACTCGCCCAACCCCCCAAAACAAACAAACAAACACCAAAAAAAGATAACACGCATCCTCATACGACACACCAAGGTAGGCCTACATGACGTACTCTCATTATATCACCGCCTCCCTCCCCCCTCCCGGTTTTTTCTTCCCTCCCTCCTCCCTCTCTTGACGTCCCCCCCCCCCCCACAACAACGTTCAAAATGATGCTGCTTCTTAGCCCCAGCATCCGCCAGCATCATCCCGAGAGTAAACAAGTTATTGATGCTGTTTAATATCTGCTCGCGTCGGCATAGGCCATCGCGCGTGTCAGCTGATCGGCATCTCTGGGACAAATTTTGAGCGGAAGAGGAAGGAGGAAGAGGAAGGAGGAGGAGGAGGAGAAGGAGATGAGGGGAGGCGGAGGAGGAGGGGAGGAGGGGAGGAGGAGGAGGAGGAGGAGGTGAGGAGGAGGAGGAGAGGAAGGGTGGAGGAGGAAGATGGAGGGGGGAGGAGGTGTGGATGGAGGAGGAGAAGGAGGATGGAGGGGGAGGTAGAGGAGGAGAAGAAAAAGAGGATGGAGGAGGAGGTGGAGGAGGAGAAGGAAAACGAAAGGGAAGAAAGGAAGAAGAGGTGGAGATGTAAGAGGAGGTAGGAGAGGAGGTGGAGAGGTGGAGAATCAAGAAGAACAGGGGTGGAAGGAAAGGAGAAAAGATGGGAAAATGAAACTTGAAGTGAAAGAGGAGACGAATATGAAGAGGAGGAGACGAAGAGAAGGGCAAAGAGGGGGAGAAGAAGAGAAATATACATAAGAAGGAGAATACCAAGAAAAAGCAACAGGAGAAGCCAGATGGAGGAGATGAACAGATGAAAAAGAAAAAAAAAGAAAAAAAGAAAATCAACTAATAACAGATTGCCATAGCGAATATTTACCCTCGAAAAAAAAAAAAAAACTAATCCCATAAAATAACGAGATAATGAACCCACAGACAAAATTGCACCCCCCCCCCCCAAAAAAAAAAAAAAAAAAAAAACACACACACGAAGCCGCAAGAACCTCAGGTCAAACCCCAAAGCCCCTTCCCTCCCCTTCCCCACCCTTCCACTTAAATCACAACCCCAAAGTTCAAAAACCGACCAACCACCAACACTGAACAAAATGTCAGCTGCTCCCAGACAAACCTTCCCTCCCCCCCCCCTCCTCACACTCCCTTCCTCCCTCTCCCCACCTGACTTCCCCTCTGAACCTTCCCCCCCCGCCCCGCCCACGCCCCTCTCCTCTCCCTCTCCACCCGCCTCCCCTCTCCCTCTCCTCCCCACTCTCCCACCCCCCACCCTCCCCTCTCCCTCTCACCTCCCCTCTCCTCCCTCTCCCACCGACCTCCCCTCTCCCTTCTCCCACTCCCACCCTCCTCTCTCCCCTCTCCTTCTTCCCACCCGCCCACCCTCCCCCCCCCGCCCACACCTTCTCCCACTCCCCACCCTCCTCCTCCCCTCTCCCTTCCTCCCCCCACCCCCACCTCCTCGGCCGCAGACGGGCGGGAAGACGGGCGTGGGAGTGGGGAATCAGTTGTGAGACATCACTAAAAATACGCATCACTGTCTTCTTCTTTTTTTCTCTCTCTTATTCTTCTTTTCTTTCCATTTTCTTTTCTTTTGTGACGTCGTCTTGACTTCGCTTTCTTTAACTCAATCTTTTTTTAGCGTCGACAGAGACTGAGTGAAAGAGAGATGTGATGGTAATGCGAGAGAGAGAGAGAGAGAGAGAGAGAGAGAAGAGAAGAGAAGAAGAGAGAAGAGAAAGAGAAGAGAAGAGAAGAGAAGAGAAGAGAAGAGAAGAGAGAAGAGAAGAGAAGAGAAGAGAAGAGAAGAGAAGAAGAAAGAGAAAGAGAAGAGAGGGCACTAACAGACACAGACACAGACAGATAGATAGAAAGATAGAAAGAGAGGCACTAACAGACAGACAGACAGACAGACAGAGAGAGAGCGAGAGCGCTTGAGCAGACACGGCATCAGACAGAGCTGGGTCGAAAGCGTTGTGGCAGGGCATGGTACGGGGCACGGAGGCAGCGGCGGGGAGGGAGGGGGGGGAGGGGGAGTTGCGCACAGACGTGAGCGAAAAAGTCTGATCGAATTTTACTTGATTTGATTGTTTCTTGGTTGAATTTTTTTTAATATCAAAAGGTGCAGACCGTTTCAAATGACCTATTTAGCGAGAAAAGACCAAATAACCTTAAAGAATGGGAGAAGCCTTTCCCCTCTCACCTCTCTCTCTCTCTCATTCTCTCCTCTTTCTTTATCTATCTCTCATTCTCTCCCTCTTTTTCTCTCTTCTCTCACTCCTCCCTCCACTCCCCCCCCCCTCTTTCTCTCTTCTCTCTCTCTCTTCCAGCCGCTCTCTCACAGGCCCCAACATGAAGAGCGTTCCCGGGCCGCAGGTGGGCACACGAACCGACATGTTGGTGTGTGTGTGCTCAAGTGTGTGCATGCGCATCTATGTGGGTATGCGACTTCCTCTGAACTGGTGCGCATGTGAAAGGACGGGAGTACTGATACGGATGTGTGTGTGTGTGTGTGTGTGTGTGTGTGTGTGTGTGTGTGTGTGTGTGTGTGTGTGTGTGTGTGTGTGTGTGTGTGTGTGCATGGTTAATGCGGCAACTCGTAAATCCTCTTCTCTGTATCACATTGTTGCCAAGATGTCTGGACGTGCGTCCGTGCGTGCGTGCGAGCGAGCGAGCGTGAATACCTGGCTCCCCTCCCGCCGGGGCCCCAGCGCCAAGCTACCAGACGCTCACAAACACGTGCATAATAATACCCCTTCACGTGTGCACAAACAGCGCGAGCCCAAAGGAGAAAGAGGAGAGAGGGAGTGGATATGTCTGTGTGTGCGTGGAAGTGTGTGTGCGTGTGTATGTATACGCGTGTGTGTGTGTACACGTGTGTGCGTGTGTGGACGCGGGCACGAGGTGAGGTGAGGCCCCGCAGGGTGAGCAGCGAGCGCCGCCACGAACCTCCGTTATGCCTCTCGTTGGGTGTTATTTACTCTCGCGTTACGTTGTATGGTCACACACACATACACACACTCACACACACACAGCCAAGCACACGCCCTCGCCACTGCCCCCTCCCCTCTTTCTCCACCCAAATGGGCGTCCAGGGTGGAGCTCGCTGCCTCGTCTGCGGTCGGGCGAGGTCTACCATATCGTCATGCCGGTATCTGGCCCAGCTATCGATATTTAGGCCTATGACGCCTATTACTTGGAGGCCTGTGACTTACTTCCCCAAAACTACACATCGAACATAACCTCACGAGCGCCGGGGGTGGAGGGTGGGGCGTGGAGGGGAGAGGGGGGTAGAAGTAGACGAGGAACCCCCTTTGCAACGCCCATTTCCTGCACTCTT